GCCACGGAGGAGTCTCTATGCAACAAATGGTTACACCTTACAAATTGTTAACCATATATAAATTGGTCCAAAAACTTATTCTTATCCTATGTGGGATAACTATTTAAGTTTTCCCACTTGCCACTTTCTTTTTTCTTTTTCCAATGTGGGATGGTACTATTTATAGTCCCCATATATTCCCACTTTTCCATTTCTAACCAATGTAGGATTGTTAATCCCCTTTAAGGCTCCTCTTCAAATCCCAACTTTCAATCAATGTGGGATTAATTTCACATACACAAGTGAAAATTCATTTGCCAAATAATATATTTTCCAACATTCTTTTCTTCAAGAAATATTTTGTTTAAATGAATAGGTGGTTAAGGTTACATATGCATTTTGGAATTTTATTTATTGGAAATTATTGCTCTATTATTAAAAGGCTTGGATATCTTCAATTAAATTTACCAAAATGTTAGATTTTGTTGTCATTGGTATTGTTTGCTGAGTCCAAATTATTACTGAATACCAAAATGTTTAACTGAATAGGTGATTTATTTTAAATCTAAGTTTGAAGATTTTGCTGTACTGAAAGGATTTTGTTGTACCATGTTGAGCTCTCGAACCGACCAACCCGATCCAACTCGACCGACATTTGGTTTGGGTTGGGTTTCAATCTTTCCATAGGTTGGGTTGGGTTGGGTTGAGTTTATGCCAAACCGACCATATTGGGTTGGGTTTGGGTTTGGGGAAAAAACGACTCAACTCAACCCAGGCCCACCCCTAATTNATATTGGGTTGGGTTTGGGTTTGGGGAAAAAACGACTCAACTCAACCCAGGCCCACCCCTAATTATAGTGGAAAACATCGTTACCTTTTATTTTATTTTTGGTATTTTCACCTTTAATTACACATTTGATTATACAAATCATCATTTGTATTCATTTTCATCTAATTTTTCAATAAAGAGCTGTGAAATTATGAATATACTCTCTTATTTAAAAAAAAAAATTTTTTTTTAATAATTTATTTGAGATTCGTTTGTACTTTTTAATTTTTTTTAATAAATTTAATAGGGACTCATCTGCACTTAAAAAAAAGAATTTATTTTCTAATTTTTAAATAATTTATTTGAGATTCGTTTGCACTCTTATTTTTTATTTTTTTTTAGGGATAATTGCATCAAAAGCCTAGCTCGAGTGCATGCTTGACGGAGCACCAATTAGGGACGGAGGAAACTATCACTTCCCAGTGGAGGGAGACGGCTGCGTAAAAGAAATTGGCGGTGGCAAAGAAGATACAGACGACAGAGAGTAATGACTGATCCACTAAACCCCACCTCAAAGCGCGCCAATCTTGGGCCAGGGAGAAAGTGATGGAAAAGATAGCAAATGGGTAAAGAAGGAAGATAACTGAAAGAATTGAAAAGCATATAGCATTAATAAGGAGAAACAATGGCTTCTACCCAGGGACGGACCCAGCCCGCCATCCCAGCCCGGGCGGAAGTTGACCGGTCAACGCCGACCAGTCAACGTCGACAGTCAGCGATCGTAAGAGCGAAGTCATTTATTAATATTTAA